GGATGGCAGAGCAGGAAGACTCTGAGCAGAAAAGATCTTCAGCTACAAGTATGAAGAAGGAACCACAGTGAGGTGGGTAGCAGAGGCAGAAATGTAGTGTAGTCAAGACCTATACCCCCAGGTGGGCAACCCACAAACAGGAGGATAATTGCAATTGTAGAGATGCTTGCCAAGGACCAAGAGGTTCCAAACCTCACTCCCCAACCAGGAAGTCGAGCAGGAAGATAAGCCCCCAGAATGTTTGACTTTGACGGCCAGTGGAGGTTACTTCAAGTCATGAGCCACCGCCAAAGTTTCTGGGTTTCTTTTTTAAGCCACCCAGTTTGTGGTACTTTGACATGGTACCTAGGACGCTTTTCCATTGGTTCCTTGGGCTTTGCTGGTGGCTCAGACAGTAAAGAATCTGCCTGCAACGTAGGAGACCTGGGTTCGAGGCCTGAGTCGGGAAGATCCCCTGAAGAAGGAAATGGCCACCTGCTCCACTATTCTTCCCTGGAGAATTCCATGAACAGAGGAGCCAGCTGGGCTACAGTCCATGGGGTCACAAAGAGTTGGACACGGCTGAGTGACCAACTCTGTTTACACTAGGAAGCTACCAGGCTTAGCAAGTTAATACATCCATTAACAGAAAAATGGATAAGAAAAATATGGTGTATCTATACAATTGAATTTTATTCAGCCATGGAAAAGAATAAAGTACTGTTCCATACTATCACTAGCAGGAAACTTGAAAACATTATGCTAGGCAAAAGAAGCCAGTCACACAAACGATCACATGATTGTATGATTCCATTTACATGAAAGTCAAGAATAGAGAACCTATAGAGATAGAAAGTAGATTAATTGTTGCTTAGGATGGGGAGTGGGGTGACAGAGTAGGGGAGTGACATCTAGAAGGTATGAAGTTTATTATTATTTTGCCACATCGTGAGGCAGGCATGTGGGGTCTTATTTTCCGGACTAGGGATCGAACCTGTGCCCCCTGCAGTGGAAGCACAGAGTATTAACCACTGGACTAGTAGGGAGTTCCTTATTTTTGAGGTGATGAAAATGTTCTCAAATTGACTGTGGTGATGATTGCATCTATCTATGAATGTATCAAAGAATATTTAATTGTACACTTTAAGTGGGTGGATTTTTATGACCTGTGAATATCTCAGTAAAACTTTTCAGGACTTCCCTGAAAGGGAAGTGGTACAGTGGATAAGGATCTGCCTGACAGAGCAGGGGATGAAGTTTCCATCCCTAGTCTGGAAAGATTTCACAGGGCACAGGGCAACTAAGTCTGTGAGCCACAACTACTGGGCCCAAGCTCTAGCAACCTCAAACTGCAGCTACTGAAGCCTGTGTGCTTGGAGGCTGTGCTCTGAAATGAAACAGGCCACTGCAGTGAGAAGCCCACGCACCTCAATGAAGAGTGGTTCCTGCTCACTGCAACTAGAGAAAGCCCCACAGAGCAGTGAAGACCCAGCACAACCAAAAATAAACTTTAAAAAAGAGAAGAAAAAAACTTCTCAAAAAGACCAAAAAAAAAAGCAAAGAAAATGTTTGCTGTGACTCATATATCCTGATTGGTTCTTCCTACCAGTGACATATAAAGACAGTTGATTCACCTAGTTTCTGAGAGGAATTTACTCCAAGGAAATAGAAAGATACATCAACTCTCCAGTCTTTTTTTTTTTTTTTTAATTTTAGCCATACCACTTGGCCTTTTCATACTGTTCATGGGGTTCTCAAGGCAAGACAGGAATACTGAAGTGGTTTGCCATTCGTGACTGAACTGAACTGATACCGTTTGGCATATAGGATCTTAGTTCCCTGACCAGGGATGGAACCCTCGCCCCCTGCACTGGAAGCGTGATCTAACTACTGGATTGCCAGGGACATCCCCTCTCAAACCTTATTCATACTGCCTGGTGTCACCCCAAACCCTTGGGCTTCTCTTCTTACATCATAACCTTTGACAATATCCTGTCCTTTCATCAGAGTCTTGGCCACTCTGGCTGTTACTGTTCCGAAATAAGTCAGTCTGTCTCACTGGACTGTGAGTCCTGTGTGGTCACTGAATGAATGTAACCTCATCATCATTATGTAATCAGGTCCTTCTACAGGGCCCTATTTAGAATAGGAATGTGTGTTGAGTGTTGAATGAATAGCCCTTGGAATTTCTGGGAAGTTTCTAATTTGACTCTCCTCATCAATAAATGAAGGCTCTCTTGAGGGTCTTGAGTTCTTCCCAGAGAAAGTCCAGCAATTCTCTGCCCTGTTTCATGTATTAAAGTTGTACATAAGATAAGTTGAGCAAGATTTTTCATAACTAAAAATGTTAGATGACCACTGGCCTGTACATGTATAAGGGTATTTGCAGCTCTGAAGTTCTATGCTCATCAAAGGTGTACCAAAGCTTTAATGATGTGTGTTTGTATGTCTGTGTCTGTGGCGGGCATGGAGATGAGCCATTAAGATCTCCCTTCAAGAAGGAACTTGCCATTTAACTGCAAGGAGTGCAGTGAGATGACTGCCTCTAGCCACAGCACCTTCAGGATCCACCTTGCCTCGGGGCAGTTTCCACACCCTTCCGGTAACTGGTGGTTTTAGTCTGTTATTGCCCGACTCTTCTTCTTCCTGGATTTCCTTTCATGGATGTCAAATCTATACCCTGGTCTGAAGACTCTTCCTGACCCATTCTACTTTCTTCCTCTTTTGTCTTTCACACACATTGCCCTCCAATAAAATGATGCACTCCCAGCTGTGTCTAAACCTCTGTTTTCCCAGAGGACTCAGTTTACCTATTGTCCATCATGGCATTTGTTCTCTATCATGTGTGTGGGCATGCGTGCTAAGTCGCTTCAGTCATGTCTGACTCTGTGCAACCCCATGGACTGTAGCCCTCCAGGCTCCTCTGTCCGTGGGATTTCCCAGGCAAGAATACTGGCGTGGGTTGCCGTGCCCTCCTCCAGGGGATCTTCCCGGCCCCGGAATCGAACCCGTGTCTCTTATGTCTTCTGCACTGGCAGACAGGTTCTTTACCACTAGTACCACCTGGGAAGCCCATACCCTGTCTCAAAACTCTCTTCCAGTTTTGAGAAAATCCCCTATTGTATGCCTCTTTATCAGAGGAAAGTCTTTGCCTCCAGCCACAGCAGCTGAATGGGTACCATGAGTTCTTCCTCATCACATCCTGACTGTGCCTTGGCTAACTGGATCATCCTGCTGGGAACTTTGACTCTTGCTGGAGGAAGTGACACAAAAACACAGACAAACCAGGAAGTTGTCCACAGTGGTTTCAATGGGTCGAGAGTTCCAAGGCAGTCGTGTTCAGTGCCTGGGGGTTGGCTGGGTGGCGATGGCAGCAGCAGCCCCTCGACAGATGATCCTGGTCATTCCTTTGGGTAATGTTCTCCTGACCCAGCTGTTTTTTTGCTACTCATATTCTTAGCCTGGCTGTCCAGAATTCACATAGATTTTGTGAGCAAACCAATCATCTTCCAATAGCCAGCAGACTTTTCTACTTAAAATAGCCAATGACATTTGATGTTGATTAAAAACAGGAACCTTGGCTATTAGGGGACTTGGGAGTCTCTGGTGGGGGGGTGTCATGGTGAGAAGGAAGCTGTAAAGGATGAGCTGTTATCCCTAGAGTGATACTCGAACCCCCTCTTTCTCTCATGCCCTACCTTCAATACAGTAGCAAATGCACTCTCGTGTTTTTGTTTAGTCTCTCAGATGTGTCTGACTCTTTGCAACCCCATGGACTGTAGCCCACCAGGCGCATCTGTCCATGGGATTCTCCAAGCAGGAACACTGGAGTGAGTTGCCATTTCCTTCTCCAGGGTATCTTCCTGACCCAGGGATTGAATCTGTGTCTCTTGTGTCTCCTGTGTTGGTAGGCGAATTCTTTATCACTGAGCCACCTGGGAAGGCCCTGCAGTCTGGTGCATCATAATAAATTCCAAACCTGTCATCTTCTCCCCACCTCCACTGGTTCTACTGTGTCTGGGTCAACACTGCTGCTTGTCGTAGCTTCCTGGTTGGTCCTTGCTCTGGTCCTTACTCCCTCCCTCAGTTCATTCATTGATAACAGCTGGCACAAGCCATTTAAAACATGTCAATACATGTCATCTTATGTTCTCCAACCCTCCCAAAGACCTCCATTGCACTCAAGTCCTCACGAAGGCCCCACATAATCTGGCCCTTTAACCCTTCACCTTCATTTCATTCACTCCTATGCTCTCCCTTCCTCCTCTACTCCAGCCATACCTGTCTGCTTGTGGGTTCATGAGCACACAGCCAGTCTTTTGCCTTACAGCTCTCCCCTTTTTAATTGTTCTTCCAGGAACATTCCCTTCCCAGATGCCTGAATAGCTTGCTCCTTTTAGCCTTGTGAAACCACTCATGCCACCGATTTAAAATTCCAGTTCTGGGATTCTTTTTTCTTTTCTCTCTTTTTTTTTTTTTTTGAGAAATTATTTATTTGGCTGCAGCAGGTCTTAGTTGCGGCCTGCAAGCTCTTAGTTGTAGCTTGTGGGACTTAGTTTCCTGATCAGCTTCCCTGCACTGGGAGCTCAGAGTCTTAGCCATTGGACTACCAGAGAAATCCCTACTTTGCTTTTCTAATGCATCACACCATTTAAAAATTTTATTATGTTTATTTTTCATTATCTACCTTTGGTCATTACCGGGGAAAGGTCAACGGAACAGCATAACGACATGGAGGTCTACAATAAGAATTTGGTACAGATAGAAACCTAGGTGGAGGTGAACAAATGAACTTAAAATCTGCAAGCTTTTGCCAAAGTCTTGGCCAGGGCATTGCTTTTCTGATGGATGTAGAAGATATACAGCTCCATATTTTGGGATGACCCCTGCTGACCAGTGTAATAGTGCCTTCTCTTAGGATCGTTGTGAGAATTGAAGGGGGATGAAGAAGTTGGGTGCGCCTGGACACTTGGGCAGAGCTCTGTTCTCCGACGGTTCCTTCCATGTCCAATAGGGGGCGCTCAGCGGACCATGAAGCAGAGCTCGTAGGTCGGAGGGATGTTGCCAAAGCCTGAGACCTTGGGCGTGATGTCGATGTCAGCAGGTGGTACCAGAGAGCGTAGGGAGAAGTTTTGAAGGATGGAGGTGAAGTAGAGGAAGAGTTCCATTCGGGCCATGGCCTCGCCCAGGCAGATGCGCTTTCCTGTGGGCACAGAGAGGGGAGAAAGGGGGCGGGGGGAATAGTGGGGAGAGGCAGACCCGGAATCATGGAGAGGGTTCCAGTCTCACCACTGCTCAGCCCCAGCTGCCTCCTCTGTGTCTCTGGGGTCATGATAATACCCACTTTTTAGGGTTATCATAAAGATGCAGTGGGTTTCTACAGTTAATGCTCCGCTAGGATCTTCCACGTATATAGGGGGCTCAACACGTGGAAGCTACTTCACTGATGGCGCACATTCCAACAGACTGTAAGACAGAATGGTTGTAAAGGATCCATGCATTTAAAGTCTTTTCATTTCTGGTTCTTTTAAAGGTTTAGAAGTGCCTACAAGGTGCCAGACACTGGTGAGGGAAAACAAAAGCTCACACTTAGATAGTGCTTGATCTACCAAAAAAAAAAAAAAAAGAAGTGAATGTATATACATGTGTAACTGATTCACTTTGTTCTACAGCAAATTCTAACACTACCTTGTAAATCAACTATACTCCAATAAAAATTTTAATAACAATAGTGCTTGCTGTTTGTCAACCTCTCTTCCAATGCTTTGGAGAGATTAGTCTCCATTTTACAGACAGGAAGCTGAAGTAACTCATTCATGGCCCCACTGATGGTGTTTGTAAGTGGTGGAGTGTGCTGCACTGACATCAGGTTCAATATAGCTTACACTCAAAATACGATTTTTCAAAGATATTGTATTGTAAGTTACCAAGCTGCTATTCATTGGGTATATCTTTCCTCTGCCTGTTTTATACTGTCGGCAAAATAAGAATCCTTTAACATTTTTAAGTGGTTAAAAAATCAGGAGAAAAATAATATTTTGTGACATGTGAAAATTAAAATTCAAGTGTTAATGTGCATAGTTTTTTTTTATTCTGCATCCATCACAGACATGCTTTTTTCTTTTTATTGTTTTTTGGCCATGCCATGCAGCTTTCAGGATCTTATTTCCCCCAGGGATTGAACCTGGCCCCATGCTGTGGAAGCTTGGAGTCCTAACAACTGGATCACCAGAGAATTCCCCAGGATGGTTCAGCAGGTAAAGAACCTGCCTGTGACACAGGTGACATGGGTTCAATCCCTGGGACGGAAAGATCCCCTGGAGGAGGAAACGGCAGCCCACTCCAGTATTTTGGCCTGGAAAATTCCACAGACAGATGAGCCTGGTGGGCAACAGCTCATGGGGTTGCAAAGAGTCAGACATGACTCAGCATCAGCATCATTATTTATGAATGTCTATGGGTGCTTTCACAGTACAATGATGTAGACTGCATAGTTCAAAGACCAGCGAAACCTAAAATATTTTATATTTTGGCCCTTAGAAAAAATATGCTGGCCTCTATTTAGTGCAATTACTTTTCTAATTATCAGAGTCCATGGTCCTGATATTCCATCAATTCTGGGATTCTAGTATTGTATGAGTCTATGAAATAGCACCCAGCTTCCCATTCAAACCTGAATGTCAAATACAGACTAATGATTGGGGGACATATCTAGCGTGTTTCTGCAGAGCTGTTGGGGGTGGGGGGACTCAGACCAGAGACACCTACCAGATGAAAAAGGCACAAAGGCTTCATTCTTCTTGAAGTGGCCCTGCTCGTCCAGGAAGTGTTGTGGATAGAAGGCATCTGGGTAGCGGAAGTATTTGGGGTCTTTGAGGACAGAGCCAAGAAGGGGAAAGACGTCGGTACCCTGGGGTGAAGATGGGCCCAGTTAGGAGAAATCAGTGTTGGAGTATGGAGAACGGTAGGGAACCAGGAGGAGTGGGGGTACAGTGGGGTACAAGAGGAGGCAGGGATGACAGCGGAGGTGCAGCTCCACCTTGGGCAGAAGGTAGCCTCGGAAATGAGTGTCCCGGATGACATTATGGGGGACGCCCATGGGCACGATATCTGTAAGTCTCTGGATCTCATGGATCACGGCATCTGTGTAGGGCATCTTAGCTCGGTCATCGACACTTGGGATCCGGTGTGGTCCAATCACCTGGTCAATCTCTTCGTGGATCTTGGCTGGAAAAAACCAGAACACACAGCAGACAAAGATGCAGGAGGTGTTTCTGGAGGCCAGGATTGGGTCATAGGTTTGTGTCTTCAGCTCTGTATGTATTCGGACTGTCTCTTTATTCTTAACTGTGGACACATTGGTGGGGCTAATAAACACTCTTTCCAGTAGTCACGTACAGATGTGTACAGCCATAAAGAAGGCTTCGTGCCAAAGAATCAATGCTTCTGAATTGTGGTGCTGAAGACTCTTGAGAGTCCCTTGGACAGCAAGATCAAACCAGTCATTCCTAAAGGAGACCAACCCTGCATATTCACTGGAAGAACTGATGCTGAAGCTGGAGTTCTGATACTTTGGCCATCTTATGCAAAGAGCCAATTCATTGGAAAAGACTCTGATGCTGGGAAAGATTGAAGGCAGGAGGAGAAGAGGGCAACAGAGGATAAGATGGTTGGATTGCACCACTGACTCAATGGTGAGTTTGAGCAAACTCTGGAAAGACGTATCTGGAGGTACTGAAGGACAGAGAAACCTGGTGTGCTGCAGTCCATGGGGTCGCAAAGAGTCAGACACGACTCAGTGACTGAACAACAACAACAATGCATAAAGCCCATGGAGTTGTAAATTGCACATGTAATCCAGTATGCAAGTGATTGAAGTGTCCATTAGATATTAGATGATTTATATTAGTAAAAGACAACTCAGACAATGAAGGAGAAACTAGATGAGTCTGAATGGAAATGTTAGTCTCTCCCATTGTCTGTAACAAGAGAAATTTGTTAGTTTGTTTTGAATTACATTAGAAGGTATGCTCAGGTACTCAGTTGTGTCCAACTCTTTGTGACCCTATGGACTATATATAGTCTGCCAGGCTCCTCTGTCCATGGGATTCTCCAGGCATGAATACTAGGGTGGGTTGCCATTCTCTCCTCCAGGAGATCTTCCTGACTCAGGGATCGAACTCGCATCTCCTGCATTGCAGGCAGATTCTTTACTGCTGATTCACTGGAGAAGCCACATTAGAAGGGAGAGGGGCCAGAACTGGGAATTTTCCTTTGGTGTGTAAATGAGTTTCTCATTACTGGAGTTACCCAACCAGACCAGATTACAGTTTACTGGCGATGGATTCTATTTGATTTTGCCACTATAGTTGGCCAAATAATGGCCATCAAGGATACTACCTTCTAATCCCTGGAACCTGGGGATGTTACCTTCCATGACCAAGGACAATTTGCAGATATAATTAACTTAAGGGTTTTGAGATGGGGAGATTAGCCTGAATAATCCATATTGGCTCTAAAAGTAACCACGTGTTTGTATAAGAAGGAGGCAGAAAAAAAAAAAAGAAAAAAAAAAAAGAAGGAGGCAGAAAGGTCAGTCAGAGAAGGAGATGTGACAATGCATACAAAGAGAGATTTGAAGATGCAATGCTGCTGGCTTTGGAAATGGAGCCCAGGAATGCAAGAAATACAGTTCTAAAGGTTGGAAAAGGCAAGGAGTCAGATCAACCCTGGTTTGACCCAGTAAAAGCCTATTTGAACTCCTGAAGTCCAGAACTGTTAAGATAATAGAATATTGTGGCTTTAAGCTACTAAGTTGCTCATAACTCACCACATAAGAAACTATCTTCTTGTAATTCAGTCACTAAGTCGTGACTCTTTGTGACCTCATGGACTATAACACGCCAGGCTTCCCTGTCCTTCACCGTCTCCCAGAGTCTGCTCAGATTCGTGTCCATTGTGTCAGTGATGCTATCTATAACCATCTCATCCTCTGCCGCCCCCTTCTCGTTTTGCCTTCAATCTTTCCCAGCATCACGGTCTTTGCATCAGGTGGCCAAAGTATTGGATAAGAAACCATGACAGGCACCAAGCAGAAGATGAAATTAAATGACTTTCCAAGCCAGAGATTCTGAGATTCCACATCCTGAGGTTCTAAAGTGTGAAGAGTTGAAAGCTGTGTGATTCTAAAGTTTCAGGATGATGTCTTCTTTCCTGTGGGGAATGAGGTCTGCCAGGTAAGCGGCTCAGGTGGACACTCACCTTCCACCTCAGGATGCTTCATCATGAGCAGCAATCCATAGCGGAGTGTAGAGCTCACTGTCTCAGTACCAGCGAAAAAGAGGTTGAGGGTGGTCAGGACCAAATTCTTGAGGTTGAATTCTGTGTGGGGGTTGTTTTTATCCTGAAAATGAGAGAGATGATAAATAGACTCACCATCTTCTGCCTTAGTCTTGTTTTCTCCCTGTGTATAAGGTAGGGCTTTGTGAAAACACAACAATGGGTGAACCAGGTGAGTATCTGGGAGAGGAAACAGTCAGAGCAAAGGTCCTGAGGCAGAGGTGTGTCTGGTGAGGAACAACAAAGAGGAGGCCAGTGTAGCTGCCAGGATAGGTGGAGTGTAGTGAACAATGGGGAGAATGAGGGAGAGGGAAGTTGAGATTGCCTTGCCAGATTTGAAAGTTCTAAGACATTAGGGTACATGATTTCAAACTGTTGAAGGACTTCCCTGGTGGTCCAGTGCTAAAGAATCTGCCTTGCAATTCAGGGGTTGCAGGTTCGATCCCTGGTTGGGAAAGTAAGATCCCATGTGCCTTGGAGATACTGAGCTCTCGTGCACATGCTGCAACTAAGACCCAACGCAGCCAAACCAATAAATAAAAAATAAATAAAGGTCAAATTTCAATCAAATATCTGTTTGTCAAGAAAAAAAACAAAACAAAATAAAATACCTGCCGAGTACAGAGGTTCTACAGTAGAAAAATAGAAATTTCTAAATTTATAAAATCCTAAGAATCCATGATGCATAGTTACTAAGTTTCTAAATTGCTATATCTCTAAGACTAAACTTTTAAAAATTTTTGAAAAAAAAATTGATTTCTTAGCCACACCACGTGGCATATGGAATCGTAGTTCCCTAACCAGAGATAGAAACCACACCCCTTGCATTGGAAGCTGGGAAGACATTAAACTTTTAATTTTAAAGTTTAAACTCCAAAGCTTAGACTTTAAATGTTTCAGCTTGGCAAATTCTAAGACTCTAAAAATGCATTCTACGCTTCTGTATTTGCAAGCCTCTGGTGTATCAGATTAGAAAGGTGTACGATTTTAAGTGTCCATGTTCTTAGAAGTTTTAGCTTCAAAGTTTAAGAGTGTAAGAGTTTATACCTTAACAGTTTCTATATCTCATCTATAAATAAAAGTCAACCTGGTGAAACAATGCTTGGCGCTTGACATACTGTCATCAATATGTTTACAGATGAGTCTAAAGTTGTAGGCGCTAGGGATTGGGGAGATGAGAGGAAAGGACTGGGGGTAGAGGAAGAGGGACCTGGTGCATCTTGATGAGGAAGCAATCAATGAAGTCCCGAGGGTTCTGGGGGTCAAGCGAGGCTTCGTTGATCTTGACCCTGGAGGCAATGAAGTCCTTGAGCTCCTCTATCAAGTAGTAGATGCGATTGTGTCTTCCTGGCAAATATTGCATGATTCCAGAATACATGTCATATAACTGTGGGGAATAAGCAAGGGATGTTTGTTAGCAATGGGCACCAGAGACCAGCCTGGGCTGAGTCTGGAGTCCAATAGCTGGGCTTAGCATCCAGCACAGGATCTGAAAATTGCATGAGGCTATTTGCTTCTTGGAGACCCAAGGCATCTTGATACTTGCCTCCCAAGATTGTGGGGAGGAGTTAGTGAGGAAGAGGCAGGGGCTTAGTTAACAGAGGTTGGGGGTGATGGGCACCTGGGCCCAGGAGGTGCTCATTTCTATGAAACTCTGGTTGATCATTTGCAGCAACTTCAGGAACTGCTCGTCCTCATAGTCAAAGCGGCTTCCAAAGACGACGGAACTGATGACATTGGAGACAGTGCGGCTCAGGAAGAACGTAGGTTCGATGCGAGCCCCTGAATAATGGAAGTTAGAGGCCATGAGTAGGAACATGGAATGTGACATCATTCAGTTGCAGATATGTGTCCTGGCTCAACTGCTTAATAGCATTTGATAGTGATTTCATGTTTGTGTTTTGAGTCTAACTTTCCCAATGTGCAGGTTGGTTTAATAAGCACCAGAGGGACTTCCCTAGTGGTCCAGTGGCTGAGACTCCATGCTCCCAGTGCAGGGGGCCTGAGTTCAATTCCTGGTTTGGGAACTGGATCCTACATGCTGCCACTAAAGATCCTGTGTGCCTCAGCTAAGATCTGGTGCTGCCAAATAAATAGATAAAAATATGTGAAGATTAAAAAAATAGCCACCTCATTGGCTCATGAACATTCAATGTTAATTATCAATGTAAAATACTTAGCACAGTGCCTGACATGTAATAAACATGTGAGAGATGCTGGTGGGGCTGAATCCTTATTTTTTGTTATTAGAAGTTAATTATACTGGGACTTCCTTTGTGGTACAGTGGATAAAAATCTGCCTGCCAATGCAGGGGGCACAGGTTCGATCCCTGGTCTGGGAAGATTCCATGTGCTGTGGAGCTGCTAAGCCAATGCCCCACAACTACTGAGCCTGAGTGCTCTAGAGCCTGAGAGCTACAACTACTGATCCTGTGCGCTGCAACTACTGAAGCCCTCTCATCAAGAGCCTGTGCTCTGCAATAAGAAGCCCACACCACAACAAAGAGTAGCCCCTGCTCGCTGCAACTAGAGACAGCCTGCACAGAAACGAAGAACCGGCGCAGCCAAAAATATTAAAAAAGAAGAAAAACAATAAGTTCACTGCCCTGGAGAGTCACAGAGTTTTGGAAAGAAGTGGAGGTAAGGGATGCATTAAAAAATAGAAAAGAATGGCTAGATTCAGTCTATCTCTACCAATGATTCCATCTGCACTATTTAAAAAAAAATTCTTCCCTTGGCCTCAGCTGCACCATCTATAAAACGAGATGCTGGTCAGGCCAGTGGGTATGGGGATAATTTCCCTAAAGCAATGCATATAATCACAATTAGTTTTGCAAATAATTTCTAGGGGTACCTGAGTATACAGAGTCTTTATGCAGACCATTTGGCACCCATGGAGCCCAAGGGAGGAGTCTAATGTAGAGAAATTTGTCTCTATTTCTGTATCTAATCTATTCATATCTGTATTTCTTGGCCTCTGTGTCTTTTTTCATTAGACCCCAGATATTCCAGATCTTATTTTTGGGTGCATCATGGATCCCTTTAAAAATCTAATGAAATGGTATAATGTTTCAGATTCACAAGTTGAAAAAGTTCTAAAAATCTTTCACAATGATGTAAATATATGTAACACAACTGAACTGTACACTTAGAACAGTTTGTTGTTGAGTTGCCAGTAAATGTCCGACTTTTGGGGACCCCATGGACTGCAGCACACCAGGCCTTCCTGTCCCTCGTCATCTCCTGGAGTTGGCCCACATTCATGTCCATTGATTTGGTGATGCCATGCAACCATTTCATCCTCTCATGCCCTCAGAAATAGAGGGGCAAATTTTTACATTATATGATTTGTACCCAAATTTTGTGTTTTTGTATGTGTATGTGTGAATATATACCTAGTTAGATAGATAAACTTAATCCTATCACCACAAAAAGGCATAAACTCACATATTGCCAAAATCTGTACTTGATATGAAGAGCTCAAAAACTCCTTAAGATCCATTGACTCAAGTCCCTGGACAAGGGATCTCTAAGGGTCTCTAAGTGTTAACTTTTAACATGGAATCTGGCTAGAAATCGCAGTAAATCCTTCACCTTCTTCATCCTTTCCCACTCCCAAACTTTCTCCCACTAAGGCCTATCTTCTCATGACTGAGCTCTCTACAACCCCGCCCCCCTAGTCCCCTTGGAGCCCTCCTGGCTGGTGTCCTACATACCCTTGGTCTTGCGTAACTCCACTAGTAGGAAGCCGGCCTCTTCCTGGATCCGCTCCTCAATGCTCCTCTTTCCCATCCCGAAGTCCCGAAGAATGGTCAGGGAGAAGCGTCGGAGAATCCTCCATCGTTCTCCATTAGCCAGAGCGACACCTGCCGGGATTTCAGGGTCAGACTCCCGTCTCCCCTCTTGTTTGTGCCCAGCTCTGTGCTGGACTGGGAGGGTGCCAGGATACGACAGCTGTAAACTTTCCCCTCGGGGATGCCTCGTTCAACCTTCCAGGTTTAATGGGGAAACTAAAGTTCCCTCCCTACTGGACCCCCCGAAACAGCTCAGGACTGAGACGAAGGAGAAGGAATCAGGCTAGTAATGACTGTGGGAGATTAAGGAGAGTTTCTTACAGGCTAGAGACCTGGAACTGGATAACTACATATAATGGAAGGATGCCTAGGAATATGGGGGGAGATATAGATAGAATGGGCTTCCCTGGTGGCTCAGTGGTAAAGAATCTGCCTGCAATGCAGAAGCCACAGGAGATGCAAGTTCTGTCCCTGGGTCAGAAAGATCCCCTGGAGAAGGGCATGGCAACACATTCCAGTATTCTTGCCTGGAGAATCCCATGGACAGAGAAGCCTGGTGGGCTAGGGTCCATAGGGTCACAAAGAGTTGGACATGACTGAAGCAATTTAGTATACAAGCATAGATAGAATGTCATATAGAGTACATTGGAATGGGGAGACTTTATATATTCTATGTTCTACTTGGATTCTCTAGACATATGTGTAAGTGTTCACAGAAGATCATACCTGTACACTAATACACCCACACAAAAGGAGTTACCATGTAGTAAATAGTATTTAGAAGTTTCTGGATGTGCATGCATCAGTGAATTAATGTTTGGAAATTTGATGAAATGATTTTGATAGATTAATGAATGGAAGAAATTGTTTGTGACTGGAATGACTGATGAATGGATGGATGGAAGACTTCTGGATGGGTAAAGGGCTAATGGATGGATGGTTGGAGATGTACGGGTAAATGGCTGGAAAGGTGTATGGATGACTGAATGATTAACAGATGGATGAATGATGGAAGGAAAAATGAATGGATGGATGAAACGATGACTAGATGGGTAAATGAGAAGATGATGTACAGATCAATTTATTGGAAAGATACTGATATTTGTATAGGAAGTCTAATGAATGAATGAATTTTTTGGTGGCTGTATGGATCAATGGAAAAATGGATGGATGGAAGGAAAGGTATAGGGATAAATGGGTGAATGAAAGTATCAAAAAATGGTGTGAGGCTGCTTGGAATTGAATGATGTGGGCAGTTAGAGATGTGCGTGCATGCTAAGTTGCTTCAGTCGTGTCTGACTCTGTGTAATCCTATGGACTGTAGCCCTCCAGGCTCCTCTGTCCATGGGATTCTCCAGGCAAGAATTCTGGAATTCTGCCTCTGGAGCCATTAGAGATTGATGTGTAGGGAACATTAGAAAGGTATCTGTGGAGGATGCAGAGACCTGTGGGTTGGGTCTGTGTGTGTATATATAGGAAGATAAAAGGTAAGCTTGGGTATGAGAGCTTGGTGAATTACAAGAGTGCCATTCGTCCATCAAAAATAACACAAGTAACACAGACGACCCTCTAGAGTCAGACAGTTTGGGTTCAAAGTGAAATGATTCTACCACTTACTGTTACTACTGATGTTTCTTATTCTCAAATTCCTCATTTGCAAAATTAGGAAGACATTAATAGCTCTCAGAGAAGTCACAGCAGTAATTCATTTAGAGTACTTATCAAAGAAACGGGGACATAGAAGTACATTACACTTTGTGATTACATTTTGTTTTTATTTTTTGTTGTTGTTACCTACCATGACCTTGGAAGTTTCGCTCTATTGAAGCCAGTTCTCCACGGCCACTGAACTCATCTGCTCGATCTACCAGGGCCTCCTTCACTGCTTCATGTCCACATAAAACCACCACTGGCCGGGGACCCATGTACACGGTGAAGACTGGACCATATTTCTCCTTGAGCTGAGTGAAGGAATACATAAGAGGAGGTGGCTGATGGCAGTATCAAGTGACAACCAGTCAAGGATTTTAGGAGATGGCGATTTCAAGGAACATGGGAACAACAGATAAAATTGAGTCCTGGGCTTGGAAAGGCTACTGATAAAGAGACACAGAAGTCTTGGCTTCTGTGATCCTGGGCAAGATCCCCCAATGCTGCTACAAGCCTTGGTTTTCGCATCGTAAAACAGTGGACCTAGATGAGATGGAATTCCAAGATCCATGTGTCTTGTCCTGAAGTGCTACCTTTTCTAGAATCCTAAGATTTCATGATACTGAGTCAAAGTTTGAAGACCAACAGAGTGCAAGAGTTCTTGTGTCTAAGGTACTGTTTATTCCAGGGACTTGCCTGGAGGCCCCGTGGTTAAGACTTTATGCAAGGGGTGTGGGTTTGATCCCTGTTCAGGGAACTAGGATCCCACATTCCTTGTGGCCAGAAAACCAAAACAGAAAAACAGAATCAATATTATAATAAATTCAACAATGACTTTAAAAATGGTCCACATTAAAAAAAACTCTTTAACAAGTAGTGCAATGCAACATATTTTTCTTTTTAAAGAAGAAGGTACTGTTATTCCAAAGTCCTGAAGGTCTTAAGTTTCAATGTGCTAGGAGTCTGTGTTTCCAAGAGTTTAAGATTCTGGAATTCCAGAAATCTAAGGTTCTGTTTCCAAGAGCCTTTGTTACAGAATTCAGAAATTTCTACACTATCTGTCTATAGAATGAGTTGCTTCCAGCTGTGTGAAACTAGACAGACTCACCTTCATGAAAGACTGAAAAGTGGCATCAGTACGAACTTGCAACACATTCCCCAGGAAAGGGATTGGTGTGGGACCAGGCGGCAGCTTTCCCCCTTTGCTCATCCGTTTCCAGGCGATGAGGATGAGAAGATAAGACAAGCAGAGTGCTAGAAAGATGGTGAAGGCCCCTCCCAGCTCCATGGTGCCAGGTCGAAGGATTGTGCCCAGGGCACCAGATCCTACCTAAATACATTCTGGGAAATCGACTCTGCAGAAATCTGAACACCCTGGGATTCAAGTTTTCCGGGTATGATTGTCATGAGGGAAGAGATTGCTTTATCTGGGGGGTAGTTATATAACCTACAATCTCCCACCTGTAAAAAGGTGGATTGAATTCACCCAGGGAAATCTACCGGGGACATGCCCCTTTCTTCGTATTTCCCGTCTCTCAGTTCTCCCTCAGCTCAGCTTCCAGTTAAGCTTGTCTTGGTAGGACCTGAGAAGCAGTTGGTGTCATTTTTAAGGCTATTTCATTTAGGGATCATACAATCTGAGTTCCATCTTTTCTTCATCAGGTGAGTCACATAACTCTCTTGGACTCAGTTTCCCTGTCTGTTGAATAGGGTGAGCATACAGTTTTAGAAAGCCTTGATAGAAAACAGAGATGGCTCCTCTCTCTTTGTGCTTAGTCGCTCAGTCGTGTCCGACTCTTTGCCACCCCATGGACTGTAACCCGCCAGGTTCCTCTGTCCATGGGGATTCTCCAGGCAAAAATATTGGAGTGGGTTGCCATTGCCTCCTCCAGGGGATCTTCCCAACCCAAGGATCAAACCCAGGTCTTCCACATCGCAGGCAGATTCTTTACCATCTGAGCCACCAGGGAAGCCCCCTCTCTGCCAGATCCTAATTAATTAGTTCTTTTTTAAAAAAAGAGAAAAATGCAAATTTAGAACAGTAAAAGAAACAACCCAATTGAAAGGGTTTAATTCAAAAAGTCCTACTGTTTTTACTCAAGATAATATTAAATAATAATAACCAAAATTTACCTGTGTTACTTTGTCAGAACTTTACTGGTAGGTGTGTGCGTGCGTGCATGCGTGTGTGTGTGTGTGTTTTCATTTTCCAAGTTTGAGATGTAGGAGCCACCTCTGAGACCCAGTCTCATCATCTCTAGAGACATGACCCAGTGATTGCTCTCTGTAATACTCTACATAATGGTTTTCCATCCTTTTGCACCAAATATTTATAAATTTTCTTTACTGACCTGAAACAAAATTCCTGGGAATTATATTCTACCTACACATGTTATTAAATACAACTCAAAACCCTTATCCTGTATGTTGATTCTCAGGCTTGGAAATTGAATCTCCTAGGAAGCCTGTAGATTTGGGTTAAGACTTGGCTGTCTAGGCTGAGGGGTCCTGTGATCACAATGGTAGGAACTCTGGGAAAACTGAGTGATTCACACAGCACCACCTTCTCCATCTTGGATCTGCTGCTAGAACAGCTTTCATGGAGTAAGAGAAAGCTCTAGGCTGCTTCTTTCAACTCTCACATCTTTTGCCTCTTTTTTACATTCTGACCACCTCCGAATGCACACACTTACACCCATTCAGGATTAGATACTTTAAAAAAATTTATTTGGCTGCCCTGGGTCTTATTTGCAGTAAGAGCTGCAGGATCTTTAGTTGCAGCATGTGGGATCTAGTTTCCTGGCCAGAGTCAAACCCAGAACCCCTGCACTGGGAACATGGAGTCTTAACCACTGGACCACCAGTGAAGTCCCTAGACTCTTAATCATCTGTGATGGTGATGGTTGTGAGTTTGGTCCTCCCATTCAGACAGGTTGGAGAGAGAAAGTATTCTTCTGGATTCAGCAGAAGGGAGGATAGTTAGAATTGTGTTGTTTTTTTTCCCTAGGGAGGCAAGATAAGTGAGTCTGGAAGATCTTTGTGCACAGTCTAAGAAGACTCATTATAAAAGGTGTTTTATGCTATGAAGGTTGAACTAAAGACTGAGTTCCAAGACTGAGCTAAATGGCTTCTCCAAGCTGCCATTTTTCTAAGATTCTGTGGTTTTCCAAATCTGTTGTTGTAATGTTTGAGGATTCCAGCATTCTATAATTTTAAATTTTCAATCTGAGCCACCTCAGATGGTAAAGAATCTGCCCACAATGCAGGAGATCCAGGTTCAATCCCTGGGTCGGAAAGATCCCGTGGAGGAAATGGCAACCCACCCTATACAAGACAGTATTCCTGTCTGGAGAATCCCATGGACTGAGGAGCCTGGCGGGCTACAGTCTGTGGGGTTGCAAAGAGTCAGATACAATGAGTGACTAACACACACAAGTTTTCAGTTCTCTATGGATTCTTCCAGTGGAGAGTGGGGATCAGCATTAAAAAAAGTTGGAAGCTATGGGGAGAAGGGCAGAATTTCCTTTCAGTTCAGTTCAGTTGCTCAGTCATGTCTGACTCTTTGCGACCCCATGGACTGCAGCACACCAGGCTTCCCTGTCCATCACCGTGTCCCAGAGCTTGCTCAAACTCAAGTCCATTGAGTCGGTGGTGCCATCCAACCATCTCAGCCTCTGTCATCCCCTTCTCCTCCTGCCTTCAATCTTTTACCTCCTCCTAGATGTTTTTAGTGAGAGTAGGAAGGTACAGCCAGTAGTGCATAGCTGTTTCTCCCAGTTCCAAAACAAAACCAACCAACCAACCACACAAAACCAAAACCCCTCCAAACTTAAGGGAACCAAAATCTAGGGACTGAGTTTGATATAGGGATCATTCTTCTATTGGAGAGTGAAAAGGACAGTGAATGGGGCCTCTGAAATCCTTCCCTTCTGCCAAGAAAAATTATCCAAAACATGGAAATTTTTAAAAAGTAATTATGGGCCTTTTTCATTTTCTTACAGGTCCATTTAAAGATAATCACATTTCAAAATAGGATGTCATTTTGTTTACATAGTTGATCAAGGTCTAAGCATTTAACAATTCTATAAAACTGTTAACTCACAATGACTATCTTTTTCTGTTTGTTAGAGAAGGTGACATTCCCCCCAGATTTTAAAAAATGCAATAAAATTAGACATTAGCCGGTTTTGTAGTTAACTCAGTCTTTCCTTCCCACATTTTTGGACTATAAAAATCCTAGTGTTTCATTTGTCTTGGGGACAAGCTTTCTTTTCTTTTTTTTAACATATAAAATATTTTATTAAAATAATTAATCATAAAATAACTAATAAACAGATTTTATGATATCAATAAATGCTAAAACAACATTGGGTATTATTCAGCATTATTTTAAAAATAGGTAGCCTGTTCAAAACAAAACTCTTAAAAATGCAAAAAAGAAGAAAAACACAGAAAAGCCTCACTCTCACCTGTATTTCCCCAGACAACTGTTTTTTTAAATCCTCTGTTTATCCTTCCAGTGTGACATTATGCAAATATAAGCAAATATGGATATTCTCATTCTCCTTCTTACATAAAATTCATTGTATATTTTTACAAAATTTATATTTATATATACATACACATATTGCTCTTCACCTTGCATTTTTCATTTAATAATATATCTTGGGGATATTAATATTGCCATTTCAATAAGGAAATTTTCCTTACTTTTTATTATAGCTGCATACTATTTCTGCATGCTATACTGTGTCGATATATAGTCTATTAAGCCAGTTCTCTGTTGGTAGGCATTTTTGTTTTCTATTTTTTACTGTTGCAAACAATGCCAAACATTTGCAAAGCATATGTGTAAGTGTGTCTGTGGGATATGCATGCATGCTTGGTTGCTCAGTCGTGTCTGACTCTTTGTGACCCCATGAACAGTAGCCCTCCAGGCTCCTTTGTCCATGGAATTTTGCAGGCAAGAATACTGGAGTGGGTGGCCATTTCCTTCTCCAGATGGACCAGCTTTCTTTACACCTAGTTCCCTCATTAATGAATTAAATAATCTTGACACATGTGCAGCACATATTTTGAGAATTAGGTTTTTAATCATTTTGAGAATTATCTTTAAAAAATTTCCCTCCTCTTCTTTCTTCTTTCCTAACTCTCCCTTCACCTTCCCCTCCTCCCATTCCCCTTCTCTTTTCTCCTCATCTGTTTCTCTCTATATTCCCTTTCTCTCTCTTTCCCTCTTTCAAAGACTCTCCCTTTCATGTCTTCCTTTTTTCTTCCTTCCTTCTCTCCCTCTCATCTCCCCTTACCACTACTTTTCTTTTTCCTCTCTCCTCCCTCCTTTTTTATCCTCTCCTTTCTTCCACAGGGATAGAAGAATCTTCTTAGTGGTTACACTAAGATAGAGTTATGCTACTATCAAATGGTGTGACGTGCATGACTGGAATATCAGAAGAAGAGTGAGATGATGGGACAGTGGAAATATTAGAAGAAATAATGGCTGAAAAGTATTACTCAAAGTGGTGGGTTGTTTCCCCACCCAATTATTTGTGTCATGTGGGAAGTCCCAGTAATGGTGCCTAAAGTCTGATGGCAGGAGGCAGATCTGGGTCGTGAAGCTAATAAACTAGAAGGAGGGTTTCAAAATGGTACTTGCCAGCACCCTAGATCATATAGTACTGGTGACCACAGGGGAGTATCCTGCTGGGATGCATAGGATGTCTCCCACAAAAGACCACTTTTCCAAGGTTGGGAAACATAACCTACCTACCAAGTACATTGAAATAAAAAACAGCATGTTATGCAAAATGAGGTGACAGAGGAATATATTCCAAATGAAGGAACAAGATAAAATCCTAGAACAACTAAGGGAAGTGGAGATAAGTAATCTACCAATGAAGTGTTTATATCAATGATGATAAAGGTGGTCAAAGAACTCAAGAGGAGACTGGATGAACAGAGTGAGAAGCTAGCAATTTTTAACAGAGTTAAGAAATATTAAAAAAGCCAAACATAGCTGAATAGTACAATAACTGAAGTTAAAAATTCACTAAAAGGAGTCAACAGTATATTAGATGATACAGAGGAACAGATCAGCAAATTGGAAGACAGAGTAGTGGAAATCACTGGAGCTGAACAGAAAAAAGAATTTTAAAAATTGAGGACAGTTTAAGAGACCTCTAGGACAACATCAAGTGTACTAATATTTGCATTATAAGGGTCCCAGAAGAAAGAAGTGAGAAAGGGGCAGAGAACATATTTGAGGACAGAAAATTTCCCTAACCTGGATAA